CTCTTGACCTTCGCTGCTGTGGTACCTGTTTGCTGCTAAGTCATCTCTGTTGTCCCTGCAAAGTCTTAAAGCGCCTCTTTCTGACAGGGTCAGGAAACTCCCTTGCTCAGAGCTTATTAATGTTTGCGTTGCTTTTTATTCACAAAGCACCTCTAAAGTAAAAACATGAGTGAATTTTAAGCAAATGCAGCTGCATGTTTGCATTGGTGTGGCAGTCATTTCTGTGGTTGTGGTCGTTTCCTCTTGTTTTGTTTCATCAGTTGAAATTACTAGGTGGGACTTCAGTGGTGTATCACCATCAGCCATCTCATAGCTTCAGATAAGACTTCAGCAGACATGACAGGAAGAAATGGAGCTTTTGCTCTAGCCCTAGAGGTGTTTGCACTGCCACGGAGGAGCCTGTCGTTTCTCTGGTGCTTTCACTGTTGTTGCTGGAACAGCTGTTGTGATCTGCTGCACCTGTTTACTGCCTGAGATCATAGAATAGTTTGGGTTGGAAGGGACCTTTAAAGGTCATCTAGTCCAACCCCCTGCCATGGGCAGGGACATCTTCAATGAGATCAGGTTGCTCAGAGCCCCGTCCAACCTGACCTTGAAGTTTTCCGGGGGTGGGGCATCCACCACCTCTCTGGGCAACCTGTGCCAGTGTTTCACCACCCTCAGCGTAAAAAATTTCTTCCTTATATCTAGTCTAAACCTACCCCCCTTTAGTTTAAAGCCATTCCCCCTTGTCCTGTCACAACAGGCCCTGCTAAAAAGTATGCTGCCATCTTTTTTATAAGCCCCCTTTAAGTACTGAAAGGCTGCTATAAGGTGTCCCCGAAGCCTTCTCTTCTCCAGGCTGAACAACCCCAACTCTCTCAGCCTTTCTTCATGGGAGAGGTGTTCCATCCCCCTGAGCATTTTCGTGGCCCTCCTCTGGCCCTGCTCCAACAGGTCCGTGTCTTTTCTGTGCTGAGGGCTCCAGAGCTGGACACAGTACTCCAGGTGGGGCCTCACCAGAGCAGAGCAGAGGGGCAGAATCACCTCCCTCGACCTGCTGGCCACGCTTTTCAGACTGTTAAAAACTGTTGGACTTCCTGGGTGGTAAACTCAGCTCTACTCTTCCATCTGCTGCAACATATCTCTTTATGATTAAATCTACGCTTTGGACTTCAGAGATCTAAACTTGGGGACTGGCCAGGACAGTCACACTAGGCTTGTAAAAGCAGAAATAGCACTGTGTATCCCAGCTCAACTGCCTGACAGGAGGATATATAGGTGTCCCGCTATACTTAAGCGTACTGCTAGAGAAGGTCTGGTTCTGTGGGTAGAATAGATGGGAAAAGAGGAGAATGTGTCTTTTAAAGATGACTGCTGTACTGAAGGCTTAGCAGTCGTAATGTTCGATTCTCTTTAACAAAGTGTGGTTTTAAATGGTGAAAGAAGGGAAAAATATGGGGGTTTTTTTAGTGAAGGAAAGTGTTAAGTACTTTAGGTCTAGAGGCTTAAATATAAAATTAAGAGCATGGTCAAGAACAGAGGTGCCGTGTGAAGGAACATAGTAAACGCTACCGTGTTGTGGAGCTTTGTAGCAAATATGGGACACAGGGTGGTTATCGAGGAATAAATGGAAGGGAAACAAGTACCATTCTGTGATTCTGGGATCTGAGACCTCTTGACAGGAACAGATGATAGCACTGGGGTTTTAGATGAGTTCTCAGTTTTGGGGAAGGCTGGCAGGTGGTTCTCCTCTGGGAAAATGAAACACCTCAGAAGCAGCTGTCCCACTCACTGTCAGGTGTCAGGATCATTAGTATGGCAGCAAACTGGGGGACAAAAGAGAATAAAAAATCCTAGTATCTAGGATCCTTCTTGTACATGTCTGATTTGAAAATAATAGACTGATGAGGATAAAGTGGAATAAATGCTGTATTTCCTTACAAGTGGCAAGCACAGTATGCATCCAGGGAAGTAAGGGTCAGTCTTGGTTTGTGATAAATGAGGGGAGAGGTTTGACCATATTTTGTTTTTGAAGGAGAGTAATCTTTGCTAGAGGACAATATATCACACCAGATCCAACAGCCCGAGAGAGATGAGACTGCTGCTGCTCCATGTCCAGACAGTAGTGAGGCTGAAGATGTATTCAGCAGGCACGTGCACACAAAGCTCACATATACACTACATATATGTGTACGTATACATGGCTGGCCACACAGATCACAGGCAGACACTCAGAGCACCCACATGAACATAGGCAGCACCAATAGCCTCATCCTGCTCCCCTCTCCGGCTGGACAGGATGGAAGTCCACAGGTGACAATATACATAGACATATGTACAAGGTGGATCCCTCCAGCAGCTGGGCTTAGACACTCAACCCAGTAGCTGCCCCTGGATCCCAGCCTCCCCAGTTGCTGGCACCTGGACATATAAGTCCCCAAGGCTGCAGCCCTACTCCAGTTGCTGGTACAAACCATCAAGCGCGCGCACACACACACACACACACATAGCTGGCGAGGACTTTCCATGTCCCACAGCCGACCTCCCTGTGCTCTCGCCCTTAGAGATACACAGATGCTCTCACACCCAGAGCTGGCCCTTAGGGACCCACTCATGCTCCTGGCTCCCAGGCCACTTTGCATACTTACAGATTGGTCCGCTTGATCTTTGCTAGCCATTGCACACTTGCACACCCACACTCACTCCAGTTGCTGGCACCACAGACACATAGGCCCTCTGACCTGTGGTCTGACCCCGGTTGCTGCACTCACACCCCAATATGCACACGTGCACACAGAATTGAAAGCCCTCACCCAGGAAAGAGAAAGGAATTTAATAAGAAGACAAGAGAGACTGCGCTGATCAGATGCAGGGCACGGCCAGACAAGCATACTGACCAGCAAACTATTTACCTGCGTCTGGCCCTTGTTATCCCCTTAAATCTCTATTTTCCCATTCTTGTTCCTCCCAAAATCATCTAAACCCCTCCCTTGCCCAGCCTTTGGTTCCTTTGCTAAATATCTCATAATAAGTCCTGTGCGATTCCAAACTGTTCTTCCCCTGCACCCCATAATATGTCCCACCCCTAGGCAGTGACCCCCTTAGTCTGAAAGGTGATCTGAAGAGCTGCTTCTGGTGGCTGTGGTGATGGGTTTCATGCCTGGACACTGAGACAGCCCTGGGAGAGGCCCAGACAAGGTGCTGGTTCCTCCGGAGTCCTGGATCCATAGAATCATAGAATCATTGAAGTTGGAAAAGACCTCTAAGATCATCGAGTCCAACCGTCAACCCAACACCACCATGCCCACTAAACCATGTCCCTAAGCGCCTCATCTACACGTCTTTTAAATACCTCCAGGGATGGGGACTCCACCACTTCCCTGGGCAGCCTGTTCCAATGTTTCACCACTCTTTCAGTAAAGAAATTTTTCCTTACATCCAATCTAAACCTCCCCTGGCGCAACTTGAGGCCATTTCCTCTCGTCCTATCACTTGTTACTTCGGAGAAAAGACCAACACCCACCTCGCTACAACCTCCTTTCAGGTAGTTGTAGAGAGCAATGAGGTCTCCCCTCAGCCTCCTTTTCTCCAGGCTAAACAACCCCAGTTCCCTCAGCCGCTCCTCATAAGACTTGTCCTCCAGACCCCTCACCAGCCTCGTTGCCCTTCTCTGGACACGCTCCAGCACCTCGACGTCCTTCTTGTAGTGAGGGGCCCAAAACTGAACACAGTAGTCGAGGTGCGGCCTCACCAGTGCCGAGTACAGGGGCACGATCACTTCCCTACTCCTGCTGGCCACGCTATTTCTGATACAGGCCAGGATGCCATTGGCCTTCTTGGCCACCTGGGCACACTGCCGGCTCATGTTCAGCCGGCTGTTGACCAACACCCCCAGGTCCTTTTCCGACAGGCAGCTTTCCAGCCACTCTTCCCCAAGCCTGTAGCGCTGCATGGGGTTGTTATGGCCGAAGTGCAGGACCCGGCACTTGTCCTTGTTGAACCTCATACAGTTGGCCTGGGCCCATCGATCCAGCCTGTCCAGGTCCCTCTGCAGAGCCTTCCTACCCTCGAGCAGATCAACACTCCCGCCCAACTTGGTGTCATCTGCAAACTTACTGAGGGTGCACTCAATCCCCTCATCCAGATCATCAATAAAGATATTAAACAAGACCGGCCCCAGTACTGAGCCCTGGGGAACACCGCTCGTGACCGGCTGCCAACTGGATGTAACTCCATTCACCACAACTCTCTGGGCCCGGCCGTCCAGCCAGTTTTTGACCCAGCGCAGAGTCCACCTGTCTAAGCCGTGAGCCGCCAGCTTCTCTAGGAGAATGCTGTGGGAGACGGTGTCAAAGGCCTTGCTGGAGTCCAGGTAGACCACATCCACAGCCTTTCCCTCACCCACTAGGCGGGTCACCTGGTCATAGAAGGAGATCAGGTTGGTCAAGCAGGACCTGCCTCTCATGAACCCGTGCTGGCTAGGCCGGATCCCCTGGTTGTCCCGCTCATGCCTTGTGAGCGCCCTCAAGATGAGCCGCTCCATAATCTTCCCCGGCACCGAGGTCAGGCTGACAGGCCTGTAGTTCCCCAGTTCCCAGGATCCCTCCTGCCGCTGTGCTCCTCTGGGCTTGGGCAGATGGGCCTTTGATGGGCTGATGGCCCCTGTGATGGGCCTGGGAGTAGCCCAGCAGGGTATATTTGGGCTCCCACTCCTGCCATTGTCCCTCTGAGCTTTTTGTGGGTGTACAGAGGAGCTTTGTCATATAACCTCACAACCTGAATATGGGCTGTGGTTTCTGATGGGGCCCTGCGGGCACTGTGGCAGCATGGAGAAGCCAAGATGCTTTTTTAAAGATGACCTAAAGGTGTAATCCAAGCATGCTAGCATGAAGGAGAGTTCAGCATGCGACTCTGCCATAGTACTGTCATAAGGCTCATGGTCTGTTGCCTTCCTTGTCAACATCTTTTTCTTCTTTCCTCTCCTTCAGATCACGACGGTTGTCTTGGGAGAGCAGGCTCTGACGGGAGCGAGAATGCTCAGGATGCCCAACTGCCTGCTAAAACTGACCAGGGTGGTGCTGAGCCACAAGCTCAGGGCTCTGTTTATCCTCACCTTTAAGTTCATGTCCTTTGCCTCCATCATGTTGTACTGGAGAATCACAGAGGACCCTAAAGGCAGGGGCCAGGTCTACAGCTTGCCTGTTGAAATTCGCTGTGCTCACTCTGTGCCGCCTTCTCCCCGCACCATTGCTGGTGGGCCCCCTCCTCCACCAGGGGATGTGTTTTTTGTGGAGACTTCGGAGCGAACTAACCCAAGTTACCTGTTCACATGCTCTGTGGAGTCAGCGGCCCGGACACACCCCGGGACAAGGGTCGTGGTGCTCATGAAAGGCTTGGTGAACGGTAACGCCTCATTACCCAACCACTGGGGCTTCTCGTTGCTGAGCTGCTTCCCCAATGTGGAAATCCAGCCCCTGGACTTGCCAGAGCTTTTTTCTGGAACACCTCTGGCAAAGTGGTACTTGCAGGCTCAGCGGCGCTGGGAGCCTTATTTCTTACCCATCCTGTCTGATGCCTGCAGAATTGCCATCATGTGGAAATTTGGTGGCATCTACCTGGACACAGACTTCATAGTGCTTAGGAACTTGAAGAACCTCACCAATGTGCTTGGTACCCAGTCCAAGTATGTACTGAACGGGGCCTTTCTGTCCTTTAAGCCCAAACACAAGTTCATGGAGCTTTGCATGCAGGACTTTGTGGAAAACTACAACAGCTGGATTTGGGGGCACCAGGGCCCACAGCTCCTAACGCGTGTCTTCAAGAAGTGGTGCTCCATCAGGAGTCTTCGGAGCAGTACAAGCTGCAAAGGAGTGAGTGCTCTGCCCCGTGAGGCTTTTTATCCCATTCGGTGGCAGGATTGGAAGAAATACTTTGAAGTGGTCAGCTCCTCAGAGCTTCACAAGCTCCTTAAGAACACCTACGCGGTGCATGTATGGAACAAACTGAGCCAAGGGACAAGGCTGGAGGTCACATCCCAGGCTTTGCTGGCTCAGCTGCATTCTAACTTCTGCCCTGCAACGTACAATATCATGAAGAAGGACTCTGAACGGCAGTGAGTCAAGGGTCTGCTAAGAGATGTTGCCTGGGAGCCCACAACTCTCCAGCTGTTCCATCACAAATGAACATTCTTTTGAAGAGAGGTGGTGGGAGTTGAGGATAAAATCCATTTCTGGGCTGTAGGTGGAGCCTGTAGCTTCAGCCGATGTCTGTGCAGCTCTTTGTCTTGACTTTAACTGCCTACCAGCAGCATTTTGTTTCTTTGCAGGACCTTTCTTCTGCTCTGCTTGGTCAGGTAGAGAAATCTCAGGAGGGGAGCAAGTGCTGAGCCACTTGTGGCAGCCTCCATCAGCCTTTCAGAGAAGTATGACTTCTATGACTTTCTATGACTGTAAACCTGGAAGAGGCCTTTGTAGAAATGCGTATCTCATAGCCCGGTTCTCAAGACTTCTGAAGTGCAGTCCTCAAAGCAATGAAAGGATGGGAGAGCAAAGAACAAGAACTGAGGAGGAAGTTAAGGATGTGCTAGAGGAGGTGTCCTGAGAAAAATGTAGAGGAAAACAGAGAAGAAAGAAAGCGCTAAAGCAAGTTCTTTTTCTTTTCATTCCCTTCTTTTCTGAAGCCTTTGGTGGAGGAGACTTTCTCATGTCTGGTTTGAGCAGGGAGCGGGATGCTGCAGTCTCTGTTCAATGTCATAGATCTAAAGATGTGGAAATTTGATGCAAATCAGAACATGAGGATCTGAGGCCAGCTTATCATTTAGAAGAGCTCTTGCGCAGCAATGTTTTATTTTATAATAGTGGCAAATTAACACCCTGTGATGAGCAGGAGAGCTCACCTAAATCACACCTTAAATTGCACCTGACACAGGAAAAGCTGAACTATCTTTTACACTGAGTTTGACTCTGTGACCAAATGTCCGTAACTGCATCTAAGATGCACCAGATCTTTCAGCGCTTGGACGGATCCTGAAGGAAAGGCGTGATATTTACAACTATTTCTAAGGTTACAGAGAGCTTGGTAGGGAACTCATACTGTCTAAATTCAAGTCCATTTATGAGTCATTTATGGTGGATGTCTTCAAGTAGCCTGGAGTACTCCTGCAATTCACTGTCCAGGAGTACAAATCTCTCCTGGGAGGTCCTGAGGGCAGTGGAAAGCTTGACTCTTCTCCCTGAGCATCTTCCTGAATTGCAGTAGAGAAAGTTAACGTATTTCTCGCAAGGTGCTGTTGTGCCTTTGAGGGCTCCCACCACAGAGGCAAGTTTGTTGCATAAACTGTGGGGCAAAACTCGTCCCTTGCCTTAATGGCCAAAAGGACGTATTGATGCTCTTACAGTTCTTGTCAGAAAATAATGGAGAAAGAGCAGTGAGAAGAATAAGGTTGAGACCATCAGCATTGTTACATCTGGTCCCTACCACACTCTAAAGGGAATCACTGAGGCACATGTGCTTGGCTCTACGATAGAGTTAATGCAGATAAGCAGGGCATTGGCCATCCCCTCTCCTACACTACTAAGAGATTATGATCTCACTGTAAAATCTTTTCTGCCTCCAGTGTGCCTTCTCTTCTTATGCCTAGGAACAGCAGTGAGGTGGTCCAATGGCCCCTTTGATGACCACGAGTCAGTCAGATCTTAAGTGTCACCTGGCCCCAAAGTGACATCTCTTTCAGGTGGTGCTTCCTGCAAGTCCTCTGAGTGTGACTCAAATGATTTCTAGATCTGCAGTTGTCTGAGGCCTCTTCTGTTTCCCAGGTCAACCATAAGCAATGTGAGGTTTTCTCAGTTTAGCCAAGGCAATGGTCAAAAACGTAAAAGACTGTGCATGCAACATTTCTCTGTTTGTCTCAGGATTATTTATCTCATCTTTGATGATAAAAATGAGAAAGACATATTGCCCATCACTTTTACAGAACAGTTCCCTGTCCCTCAGGGAACATGGCTGTGGGAGCTTAAGGAGGGTGTGCACCTTTTGGTTTTTTTTATGCTGAGCTGTCCAGTGTTGATCAGAGGCCGGTGCTGCTTTGATTGAAAGCTATCTGCCTGTGAGTTGTGCAGAGTGTGAGGTCTGTGCACAAGTAGCTACTCTGGAGTGAAGAAGGTACTGGAAACACCCCTCCAGTGTCTGGCACCACATGCATGTATGTATGTAGTGCTGCCCCTTTGTTCTGCCCAGCTTTATGGTATATCCTGGAGGCATTCAGGATTTTGAACGTCTGCAGCTGTCCCAACACTGAACTTCTTTAACAACAAAGACTTTGTGGGGAAACAGCAGATCTTCCTAACTGTATAAGCATTCTTCAGCACACTAAGTGGTATAAATGGATGCTGTTTTCACTCCCTACTCTCACTGTCACTACTCTGTGGGGTTTTTTTCACTGTTTTCTTTAGAAGCAGCCACGAAATTGTCAGCCCTAGCCTAGTGTGTGGTCAGTGAGGCATGGTTTCTCTTTGTACTGGTTCCTTCTGTTTTGGGCCCTTTGGACTAAACAACAGAAATCTTAGTGAGCTAGGAACCCCTACCAGAGATGGTAAAATGGTGGTTGGTGATCATAAAGGCATAACAGGGGATGCTACTGTGGCAATAGCATGAACTGCTTATGGAGTGTTTGGGACCCACTGCAATGACTATCTGGCTTTATGTACCACTGCTTATTCTAGGAAAGTGCCTTTTTGGATAAGTGAGTGGAGTGGGGTTTTTTGTTGTTGTTTTTCATTGTTTTTTTTCCCCTGTAGAGTCAATGTTCTGAGGTTTGATAAGGAGAGAATCAAACCAAAGCAGCCTTTGGCCTTCTTCCCTTTGCCTTGCGAAAGAAAAATAAATACAGTTTTTACTATTACTTCTCTCTGCCATTTTGTTCTGCGAGGCGTTGGTGGTAGGTCTGAGCAATCTGTTAGTTATTATGCAGAAAAGCATTTTAAAGTTGTGTCCTGAAGTGACTCACTAAATTAGGAGTGTGGAATGAACATGAGACAAGTTGAGCATAATCAAATGTGGAAAGAAGGCTCTGCGGACCACGACTACATGCTATCTTTGGGACTTGAGCGGAGGGAACAGATGAAAGCACAGTGTGGTACTGATTCCTAAGCCAACCAGGTATAGTCCCATCATTCATGACCTGCAATCTATCTGAAGCAAGGCATTTTAGTCTCACTCGGAAGGTCTGGATGTTACGGAATAGGAAACTCCATGAGAAATTGTGTTGCTGTTTCCCTGGGTGGTGGGCTACAGCCTCCCTTAGTAGTGATAGTGTCTGTGCTCTTGTAGACCTCAACGTGGAAAGCTTGTGCTGCAGCCACTGGTTTTCCCACCTGCCTTTCAGAGCCTGATCTAAAGACCCTGGAATCTAGGGGAGCATTTTGAGAGGCTGTGAAAGGACTGGTGGGGTCTGGTGTGCAGGGTTTTATTGTGACTCCTTGAGTCAAGAGCCAGGGAAACAGCTTTCCCTTGAGATGTAAAAGAGTTGCCTGTGCTTTTTTCATTGCTGATATGCAGTCAAGGATGATGGGGAGTGGTGAGAAGGCACTAGTTGTTTCTTGCCCTGTCTTCTTTGTCCTTGAGCTCGTGAAGGTTAGCTGGTACCCGGCTGTGCAGTACATCAAGGAGAGAAGCCAGGGGTGGGGGTTGGAGATGCAGAATTGGACAGTGCAACAGAAGAGGAGTAAGGAAAGATCGGTAGGGTAATCCTGGACCTGGTCTCCTGGGAAGAAACTGAACGATGATTATTTTCTCTGTGCTGGCTGAGAGTGCTCCTATGCCAGGAGCTCTTGTGTTGGGGGGGATCTAGGATGCGCAGTAAGTAGTAATGCTCTGTAGGGCTCTTTTTTCCCCTGTTCTTCTCCCCCCTGTTTCTTCTCCCTGCCCCCAAAATGTGTGGTCCAGGAAGGCTGTGGTGCAAAGCAGGTTAAGAGCCCTTCTTGGAGGAAAGTGTAGTTACCTGCCTTAGTCATATACATGTTGGGAGCTGAGGTCTGCCTAGGGCTGGTTTGTCCTCAGCCGGAGAGAAGAAGAAAACCAAAGCTCTCCACATGCTCTGTTTGGATATGCCATTTGTGAACACCGGCACGCTGATCCTTCTCATGTACTTCAGGTTCATCTCTCTCAATTTGTGACCATTCCGTGTGTGCACTTGGCTTGCGGTCGCTCTGGTACCTTCTTTGCAAACCATGCCTGGAACTCAGATGAATAGGCATAGTCCAGAGGAGAAAACTACAGGAGGAAGTCACTTCAGCTGCACCCTGCCATCACGGCTCAAGCCGAGATCTTGACCTTTAAATTGGTGTATAATGATGGAGCCAAATGGCAGCTGCCGTGGCTCTGCAGTATGTTGGTAGAGGCACGAGAAGTAAGAAAGTACTCTTCACAAAGCGGAATCTATGTCTAGGGGGGAAATTAGGTAGGTGCATAACGTCTGGCAAGTTAAATATGAAAACACCATTAGGCTATAGAAAACATTGTTTGAAAACCAATTAACAAAAGATATTAAAGCTACCACTGTTGTTGTTTTTTTTTTTTTCCAACTGCAGAAGGAACAGGAAGCCTGCTAGAGAGGCGGAAGGTCAGTAGGAGATGAGAGATTGAAAGGGAGTTCAGAGATCAGTTTGAAGCAAACCAAAGTTAATTTCTGCATCTGGCTACAGGTGGGAGGAACTGGGGCATGTTTCTCTACACTGTAATCCCTCCTTGTGGGGGATGCATGCCACAGTCTCTTGCACATCACCATGTCCATGGAATACAGGTCAGGACTGAACGAACAGACGGATGATGGGAGCTGATGGGATGCATCCATGAGTGCTGCGGGAGCTGGCTGATGTCATCGTGAGACTTCGTTATGCTTGAAAGGTCGTAGAGATCAGGGGAGGTGGAGGGAAGCAAAAGTCACTCCTATCTTGCCTATCTTCAGGAAGTGCAAGGAAGAGGATCCAGGGAACTGCAGGCCAGTCAGTGTCACCGTGACCCCTGGGAAGGTGATGGAGCAAATCCTCCTGGAAGTCATCTGCAAACATATTAAGGACAAGAAGGTAGGACAAGGAGTAGCTGGCATGGATTTACAAAGGGGAAATCATGCCTGGCAAAACTGATGGCCTTCTATGATGAAATGACCAGCTCAGTGGATGGGGGAAGAGCATCGGATGTTGTTTATTGCGACTTTAGTAAGGCTTTTGACACAGTCTCCATAACAGCCTCGTAGGCATACTGATGAAATGTGGACTACATAAACACAGTGAGGTGGATTTGAAAGCTGAATGAACTTCTGGGCTTGAAGGATTGTGATGAGCGACACAGTCCAGGTGGAGGCCAGTAACTAGTGGTACACTCCAGGGATCTGTGCTGGTGCCAGTACTGTTTAACGTCTTTATTAAAGACCTTGATGATGATGGGATGGAGTGCGACCTTGACAAGTTTGCAGACGATGAAACACTGGGAGGAGTGGTTGATACACAAGGTGGTTGAGCTGCCTCTCAGAGCGACCTCAACAAGCTGGAGAAAGGAGCCAACAGGAACCTCATGAAGCTCAACAGAGAGATGCAACTGGTGAGAGATAACTCCATGCACCTGTGGACAAGAAGTTGACCAGGAGCCAGCAGTGTGCCCTTGTGGCAAAGGCGGCCAACAGCCTGCTGGGCTGCGTTATGTAGAGCATTACCTGCAAGGTCAAGGGAAGCAATCCTTCCCCGCTAGTCAGCACTGGTGAGACACATCTGGAGTGCTGGTTCCAGGCTTCCCAGTTAAAGTGAGACATGGACATACTGGGGCAAGTCCAGAGAAGGGCCACTACCATGAGGAAGGGACTGGAGCACGTGCCGTACGAAGAGAGGCTGAGAGAGCTCTGATCATTTTTCTCGGAGAAGAGCAGGCTCGGGGGCTGTCTTGTCTAAGTGTATAAATACCTGACTGGAGATGGGTGGGGTAAAGAAGAGAAGCCGGACTCTCCTCTGTGGAATCCAGTGACGGGGTGAGACACAATGGGCACAAATTGAAATACGGGAAATCAGAATGAAAGAAATGGTGGTGAAACACTGGAACAGGTTGCCCAGAGAGGTTGTGGAGTCTCTGTCCTCGGACAAGGTCAAAAGCCAAGAGGACACGGTCCCGAGCAACCCGCTCTAGGTGACTCTGCTTTGAGCAGGGGAGTTGGACAAATGACCTCCAGAGGTGCCTCCCAACCCCAACCCCTCTGTGATTCTGTGACTAGATGGGGCCTGACCTGAGGCCTGGAGAGCTCCATCGATGAAAGGGCTGGGAATAGCTTAAGGTGCTTTCCAAAGAGCTTCCCCAGTGTTGGCATCTTATGAGTCCGTCCGTGGTGCTGCAGTGCTTGGAAGGATTGGGGGAGGGGGGAGGGGTCTGGGAAGCTACAGAGCAATAGGCCTGACATTTGTTGCAGGCAACTGAGTAGAAACCGCACTAAACCCTGAACGTAGTGGCTGTATGGATAAAGGTGGTATTTCATGAACGCGTCAATGTGTCTTCTGTAAGGGAAGGTCAGCTGCCATCGAGCACAGGCACAAGGGGGAAGTCTATCATAAAATGAGGGACACCTGAATTTGGCAAAGTCGTTCAATGCGGTATCCAGCATAAGAGGGAGTATTCCCAAATGGATGAGTAAATTAATTGGTCGAAAGAGCGTGTGTTCAAAGGAGTATTCAGAACTTAAGTCTTGGGGTGAGAGGAGGCAGCTCTATGAAGCTCTCAGCTCAGTTCTCGTGGCAGCCACCCAAGCAGCGTGAGCGCTGGGAATTCTTAGCAAAGGAGTAGAAAACAAACCCACAACTGGTTTCCTGCCACAGTATAAATTTTAAAGTGTAGCGATAATGGGGTTTCCCTCTCCTTTTTTTTTTTTTCTCCTTTCCTTTCGTTTCATTCCTAATTAGATGGGTTCTTTACAGCGCAGCCACATGACCCATCAGCTGCATGTCCCTTCTTTCAGCCAACATATTAGCTGAATATATGGTGTCACATCCTCCTGGATGTTACGTGGAAGAAAGAACTCTGTCCCCTCCAGCCTGTCCTTGGTTTCTCTTCTACAGCTTACCAAGCTAAAAATGATTTACAGGATTCAACATGTGGAGTCAGCGGCCCGGACACACCCTGGGACAAGGGTCGTGGTGCTCATGAAGGGCTTGGCAAACGGTAACGCCTCATTACCCAACCACTGGGGCTTCTCGTTGCTGAGCTGCTTCCCCAATGTGGAAATCCAGCCCCTGGACTTGCCGGAGCTTTTCTCAGGGACGCCTCTGGCAAAGTGGTACTTGCAGTCTGAGCACTAGAAGGAACCTTATTTCTTACCTGTCCTGTCTGATGCCTGCAGAATTGCCATCATGTGGAAATTTGGTGGCATCTACCTGGACACAGACTTCATAGTGCTTAGGAACTTGAAGAACCTCACCAATGTGCTTGGTACCCAGTCCGAGTATGTACTGAACGGGGCCTTTCTGTCCTTTAAGCCCAAACACGAGTTCATGGAGCTTTGCATGCAGGACTTTGTGGATAACTACAATGGCTTGATCTGGGCGCACCAGGGCCCACATCTCCTAACGCGTGTCTTCAAGAAGTGGTGCTCCGTCAGTAATGTCCAGAACAACATGAGCTGCAAAGGGGTGCGTGCTCTTTCCCCAGAAGCCTTTTATCCTATCTGCTGGGAGAACTGGAAGAAGTTATTTGACACAATCAGCTCCTCGGAGCTTCACAAGCTCCTTAAGAACACCTACGCGGTGCACGTATGGAACAAACTGAGCCACGGGACAAGGCTAGAGATCACGTCCCAGGCTTTGCTGGCTCAGCTGTATTCTCAGTTCTGCCCTGCCACATATGCGAAGATGAAGAAGGACCCTGAAGAGCAGTCAAGGCCTGTAATGTGACCTGTGGGCCCTTGGCTGCAGGGAAGTTCCCCAACCTGAAGGAAACTGAGTGCCTTTCACCTTCCACGGAGCAAGTATTCTGTGTGACATCTCAGTGATTTTGTACCATTTCCAAGATCTGCCTCAGATCCTGCGTGCTTCAAATATACACCGGAACCTGAGTTTGGACTCTCTTGTTGTCCTTCAGTAGCCCTTGATGCTGCAGGGAAGGGTGAACTTGTTCATCGGTGCCTACCAGTTGCTCCTCCGTTGCTGTTCTCTCAATTGTATCAGGCCTGAAATGCCTCTCGTGTAGTTTCAACAGCTGTAGGAACCCTTGGCTTGCTCTCTGTAACGTTTGCAAGTATGTAAATAAATGCCAGCCAGTGCTATAGGACACGGTTTAGAGGAGCTTAGGACCAAATTCCCCGGGTGGTAAAGATTCTTACGGCTGGTGAAGTTTTGGGAGAGACTGCGAGTATATGAAAGTTGCTTTAAGAAACGGAAAACATTTTAAATCCCTGCTCGGCTCAGTGTAAAGTTTTTCTTGTTTTCCAAAGGTACTTTATTTCAAATGCTCTTGTCTACTGTTTTACATTCCGCAGCGATAGGCTGACTTTTCTGGTCCTCTTCAGGAAAAGAAATAGCCAAAAGCAGTTCTTCTACCAGTGTGGGAAATGCGATAGGTATTCAGAACAATACTCTCCTGCTGAGTCACTGCTTGGAAGTAGAAGTGTCCTTGTCTAAATTGCATAGGTGCAACACCTGAGTGATGTACTTAAGATAGCACTGGTCGTAAAACAGTTGGTAGGCTGTCAGTGGTTAGAGGGTATTTCCTGGTGGTTTATTTGCCCCTTACTGTTACATAGGTAAAAGAATAAGCAATCCACAGTAATGCAACTCAAATTTAACTTACACCAACCCTTTTTCCTCGTATCTGGAATCATATGTTTTATGACTAAATCATTCACTCCGGTAGGTACTTGTATGTGAATCCTGAGAAATGGTCCTGTCACCTTTGTCAGGAGTGTGGTTGTACACCTTTCCTTAACCTTCTGTATTTGCTTGATATGGAAGGGTTCTTCCGTAGAAGTATTTCCATCAAATGCTAGGACTGGTCTTGGAAAGACCAGGCTGTGCAAAGATGCAGGTTGCTCAAATGTGCAGCTTGTCATACATTTCTTGTGACTCTTGTATCACACTGGATACCAGTAGTACCATAGTGAAATAACTGACATCCTTATATGGTAACTTGCCATGGTTCTGATATGGAAAAATGATCAGTCACTAACGGTATGATACCTTGATGTATGTCTGAATTTCTTTTTGTCTGCCATTACTCTGTACTTGCTGTTTTTTCATGACATAGAAACCCCACTGCACTTACCAGCTATACGTGTGGGCAGCTCTGCTCCCAAAGGGAGCGCGTGTATTGCCAACCTAGTATGTCCTGGTTTCGGCAGGGATAGAGTTAATTTCCTTCCTAGTAGCTGGTGCAGTGCTGTGTTTTGGATTTAGGGTGAGAACAATGTTGATAACACACCGATGTTTTAGTTGTTGCTAGGTAGTGCTTACACTAGCCAAGGACTTTTTAGTTTTCCATGCTCTACCGACTGAGAAGGCTGGAGGTGCACAAGAAGCTGGGAGGGGGCACAGCCAGGACAGCTGACCCAAACTGGCCAAAGGGACATTCCATACCGTGTGACGTCATGCTCAGTACTGCTCTGTGTATTATTATTATATTATTATTATCATTTTATTTCAATTATTAAACTGTTTTTATCTCAACCCATGAGTTTTCTCACTTGTGCTCTTCCAATTCTCTCCCCCATCCCACCGGGGCGGGGGGGAGTGAGCGAGCGGCTGTGTGGTGCTCAGTTGCCGACTGAGATTAAACCATGACAAGTAGGAATAACATCAGCACATGGATGTGTCTCAGTGGCGAATGTACGCAGAACAAGCTGGTGGCTTTCCAGATGTACTTTATTCTTCTTTTAACAACCACTCTTCTTTCTACCAAAAAAGCTCCTCTCAGAAATTCTGGAGAGCATAATCAGTGGGAATATTTCTTGATTAAAAGATTCCCATCAGAAGCACATGAACATAACAAATACATTTTGGCTAGGTTAATCATTTTAGCCAGGTGAATTTCTTAACTAAGTTCACAGCACAGCTGCATCACTCAGGTCCCTTCCCTGCACTAGACACGAAGCCACCCCACTATGTGCTGCTTCCGTCCGTTTCTTTCTTTCCTGTGTTCACCTCCTCCACCAGGGGATGTGTTTTTTGTGGAGACCTCGGAGCGAACTAACCCAAGTTACCTGTTCACATGCTCTGTGGAGTCAGCGGCCCGGACACACCCTGGGACAAGGGTCGTGGTGCTCATGAAGGGCTTGGCAAACGGTAACGCCTCATTACCCAACCACTGGGGCTTCTCGTTGCTGAGCTGCTTCCCCAATGTGGAAATCCAGCCCCTGGACTTGCCGGAGCTTTTCTCAGGGACGCCTCTGGCAAAGTGGTACTTGCAGTCTGAGCACTAGAAGGAACCTTATTTCTTACCTGTCCTGTCTGATGCCTGCAGAATTGCCATCATGTGGAAATTTGGTGGCATCTACCTGGACACAGACTTCATAGTGCTTAGGAACTTGAAGAACCTCACCAATGTGCTTGGTACCCAGTCCGAGTATGTACTGAACGGGGCCTTTCTGTCCTTTAAGCCCAAACACGAGTTCATGGAGCTTTGCATGCAGGACTTTGTGGATAACTACAATGGCTTGATCTGGGCGCACCAGGGCCCACATCTCCTAACGCGTGTCTTCAAGAAGTGGTGCTCCGTCAGTAATGTCCAGAACAACATGAGCTGCAAAGGGGTGCGTGCTCTTTCCCCAGAAGCCTTTTATCCTATCTGCTGGGAGAACTGGAAGAAGTTATTTGACACAATCAGCTCCTCGGAGCTTCACAAGCTCCTTAAGAACACCTACGCGGTGCACGTATGGAACAAACTGAGCCACGGGACAAGGCTAGAGATCACGTCCCAGGCTTTGCTGGCTCAGCTGTATTCTCAGTTCTGCCCTGCCACATATGCGAAGATGAAGAAGGACCCTGAAGAGCAGTCAAGGCCTGTAATGTGACCTGTGGGCCCTTGGCTGCAGGGAAGTTCCCCAACCTGAAGGAAACTGAGTGCCTTTCACCTTCCACGGAGCAAGTATTCTGTGTGACATCTCAGTGATTTTGTACCATTTCCAAGATCTGCCTCAGATCCTGCGTGCTTCAAATATACACCGGAACCTGAGTTTGGACTCTCTTGTTGTCCTTCAGTAGCCCTTGATGCTGCAGGGAAGGGTGAACTTGTTCATCGGTGCCTACCAGTTGCTCCTCCGTTGCTGTTCTCTCAATTGTATCAGGCCTGAAATGCCTCTCGTGTAGTTTCAACAGCTGTAGGAACCCTTGGCTTGCTCTCTGTAACGTTTGCAAGTATGTAAATAAATGCCAGCCAGTGCTATAGGACACGGTTTAGAGGAGCTTAGGACCAAATTCCCCGGGTGGTAAAGATTCTTACGGCTGGTGAAGTTTTGGGAGAGACTGCGAGTATATGAAAGTTGCTTTAAGAAACGGAAAACATTTTAAATCCCTGCTCGGCTCAGTGTAAAGTTTTTCTTGTTTTCCAAAGGTACTTTATTTCAAATGCTCTTGTCTACTGTTTTACATTCCGCAGCGATAGGCTGACTTTTCTGGTCCTCTTCAGGAAAAGAAATAGCCAAAAGCAGTTCACAGCACAGCTGCATCACTCAGGTCCCTTCCCTGCACTAGACACGAAGCCACCCCACTATGTGCTGCTTCCGTCCGTTTCTTTCTTTCCTGTGTTCAGCAGCTCACTGCCCATGCTACTCCTTCACAACAAGCTGTGCAACTGGTTGGTGGTATTGGTATGCAACAGGGTAAAACCGCCACTATCTTTATGTTGGTTTTTCATCTACAGAAAAACACAATGGAAGGAAATTTCTTCTCAGGCTGTAAAAGAATCCAAGTATAACCTCTACATGAGGTTGCTGTTAGATTGCAGCGTCCGGCTGTACAACTGGTGATTCTTTTTTCAAGAGGGGAAAAAACCAAAAAAGCAGCGCTTCTGCTTCTGGTCAGCAAACCTGCACCAGTTCGGTTGTATCGGGAACCGGGGCTATAGGGGGAGGGAGGTGTAGAAGACACAGGGCAGAGGAAGCCATGAGGTTTTTCTGAGGAGGATGAGGTGACCTGAAGGCCTCAGACTGGTGCTGTTTGTAGAAAGTGCCTAAGAATAAAAAGCCCAAACTTGGGTTTCCATATCCTTGCCTCTGGCACGGCCTGCTGCGGTCTTTTGGGTGGCCCCCACGGCACGACGGGAAGGACGAGGGAGGTAAGTCAGCACTGGCATGGCGGCCACAACCAAAGAAGCAGCAGGAAAAAGGCTGAGCAGTCTCACCTGTGGGCTGGCAGGCTCCTGCAACCTGCCTGGCCATGGTGGGGCCATGGTAGGGCCGTGGCTGGCCAGGGCTGTCATGGAGAGGAGGAGGGTGAGGAGGAAGGGGATGTGCTGCGGGGAGCGGAGCAGGGGATGGCAGTGGGTGACGGTCGAGGTGCTGATGGGGCCAGGCTGGCCCTCCCTCCTCCTGCTGCCGAAGCCACACAGGCCCCACAGACCACGGGCATGTGCCAGGGCTGCGCCCTGCCACCGTGGCTGGGCTGGGGGCAGCAGCTGAGGTGGTGGTGCTGCCATGGCGGAACCTTCCGGAAGGCTCCATGTGGCCGGGGGCTGCGTCCCCCCTTCTGGGCAGTGCTGGGGGAATGGAGTGGATCTGGGGTGGGCTGTGCCTTGTTGCCCGTTTCTGGGCTGGGTAGGAATAACCTGTCTCTGGGAGAGGGATGTTGTGCTCCTGTGGGCCTGCGTCCCTCCCTCCTGCCTCCCCAGCCCTTTGCTCGGGTGGTGTAGAGCAGCGCAGCTACAGGCGTGTCAGCAAGAGCCATCCCAGTGTGTTATGTTAACATGGCCAAATCCTGCCCCTTCCTGTTGCAGGGTAGCCCTGCTGAAATTTAGGCAGTTTCTTGGGTCAGTGATTAGAGGGTACTTCTTTGGCGGTTTTTCTGGTGGCTGGGGATGGTCCCAGTGCTATGGGGCTAAGCAGCCCTTGGCCAGAGATGTCTGATCTCTCAGGGGTCTCTGACCCCTACCTGTGCTGCAGGGAAATACAGCATGTCTTAAAGGCAATCTCAACTCCTGTGGTTCAACTGTGGGAAATGCCGATTGATTTATCGCTTCGTGTTTGATTTTTATTTTTTTTTCCCCTCTTGTGTTTTAATTGCATTTGATCTTTTTTTCAGCTTGTGCTGTTTTTCTTGGAAGAATGTTAACTCTGAGGCAAAGATAGGATCTGTGTAGCTGTGCCAGTACCAGCGCTGTGAGTGAAATGCAGCCTCTCTGCCTTGCATTAATCCTCATCTTCATAATCTCTTTGCAGGAGATGAAGAAAAGAGCTAGTGCATACCAGAATATGCTTGGATTCTTGAGAGATCGTTTCTTGCAGACCTTTTCCCCGGTCCTTTCCTACCCGCTACGTCACGGGCACATCAGTTTTCACCTTCCAGTACTAGAGAGTATGATCTAAACTGCAGGCAGGCCCGGACCTTTTGGGCAGAGGACTGTGCAGCAGTCTCTTTATGGACAAGGTGCTCAGTGGAGTGATCCATTGGCATGTTGCTTTATGGTCACTTCATTGTGGGATCCAAAGGATCCTACAGTAGTGCTGGAGCAAGTCGTGCTCCCTGCTTCATCCATCCACCCTCCAATGTGATCCTTCCATCCCTCCCTCCCCTCCCACATGATTCCTGAGTGAGCTCAGCAACACCCCACTCAGTCCGCTATTCTCTGGCTGTTTCTGACGCTGGGAACTGATGTTTCCAGACGTTCCCCGTAGGCGTGGAATGGTGCAGAAAGAACCTGCGATTACCAGAACTTAGCCAAGCCGGGACTAAAAACTAGAGAGAGCAGCTCTGAAGTTGAGGACGAGGGCACCAGCTAAGCCTGCATAAACTGCATGGCCTCCTTCTACTGGGGAAGTGAGCAGCAGAGCTGACTATGTATCGGGGTCGGCACCTAACAGTTGACATGAAATGGTAGTCCCACGCTGGACACAGGGAGTTCTGGGTTAGCTCTTGTGCCGTTCCGGGCCTGGGGCTGCTATGACTTCAGCTGGGCCATCACCCAAATGCGGGCTCGGAATGGTTCCTAGGAAATTTTAAAGCCCAGCTGAAAGCTAATGCTCACAACTAGGGATTAGACTTGAACTGCAAATCTATTGTTTTGGTCCATTTCCAGTAACCCCAACCAGCCCCCTAAGTCCAGAAGGAGACTGTCGTGGTTTAATCTCAGTCGGCAACTGAGCACCACGCAGCCGCTCGCTCACTCCCCCCCGCCCCGGTGGGATGGGGGAGAGAATTGGAAGAGCACAAGTGAGAAAAAACTCATGGGTTGAGATAAAAAAAAGTTTAATAATTGAAATAAAATGATCGTAATAATGATATGGTAATAATAATACACAAAGCAAGTGATGCACAGTA